TCGCACCTTGAAGGGACAGTTTGAGTGAATAGATTACCCTTGCCTTATGCTGTGAGGATAAGCAAGTTTAGACTTCAGGACTGGCAGTCAGTAGGAGCAAATTGAAGAACATTTTGCATCTGAGAAAATCTGCCTTAAGTCTAGAAAAAGTCACACTGAAACCCTCTTAGGTAAAGATCTTTAGTTGGCATATGTCAGATGGAGTATCCTAGTAGGCCATGCTGCCCTGGTATCTGATTTACCTGTCCTAGTGTAATGAACTTTTTTTTCCTTGCTGGTTTTAGTGTAACGAACTCTGTGTCCTTGCCTTCAAGTTGTTAATTAATTTTTCTCTGTGCAGATAATATATAGTCCCTCTGCTTGCCATTTCTGTCTTAGTCACTAAATGAGGTTCTATTGGTTGTGGCAAATCCAAACACTTGTTATCTCATACACAAACCAATTTATTTTGTAATTTTAGTGGCCAAACTTCCTGAAATATTTGTTTACAGTTTTACTACAAATAAACACTTTAAAATTTGTAAACATTACAGAAGTATGTAGCACACTATTTAAAAGTGTGCCCCAATCTAGTTAACTCTTAGTTAATAACTTGATGTATATTCTTGCTTTTTCAGTGTTTTTTTTAAGCAAAATGTTTTACTATTGTTTTGTCTTTTGCATGTAAATGCACATACCTAAGATTTTTTCAGTTCATTAGTATCTAACTTTATTCTTTTTAAATCATATATAATATTTCATTATATAGATGTACCATTATTTGTTTAACCAATTCTCTTTAAATGAGCCTTCAGGGTTTTTTCCCAGGTTTTTTTTTTTTTTTTTTTTTTGTTACAGAAAGTGCTGAAGCTGACATCCATATATATTTCATTTTGTACTTTAATGTGAATATTCAGCTTACTTTTTTCCAAATGGCTAGCCAATACCTTTTATTGAAAAAATTCTTACTTTCTCCCATTCAATTGAAATGCTACATTTATATAAATGATGCTTCTAGACTTACAATACGGTTACGTCCTGATACACCCATGGTAAGTTGAAAATATGGATCTCTTTATCATAATGGATCATTCTGTCCCCAAACAACTTATGTCTCTGTATTTTTCTTAAATCTTTCAGTAGAGTTTTATGATTTCCTTACATGTCCTATGAGTTTATTGCTATGTGTTACATGTGTTTTACAGTTACAAACTGCAGATCTTTTTACTAATATTTTCTGGCTGGTTGTTTTTGGCATGGAAGAATGCTATATATTTTCATATAATTATTTTATGTGGTCACTTTAGTGAACCACTCTTATTTTCTCTAATATTCTTTTCAGTTGATTCTCATGGATTTTTTATGTCAGCAGTCATTATCTGCAAATACTGATTATTTCACCTCTTTGTTTCCTAATCCATTTAACTTTAATTTGGTTTCCTTTTCTTTTTCTTTTTTGAGACAGGGTCTTGCCCTGTTGCCCAGGATGGAGTGCAATGGCACAATCATAGCTCATTGCAGCCTTTCACTCCTGGCCTCAAGTAATCCTCCTGACGCAGCCTCCCAGTTAGCTAAGATTACAGCCTCATGCCACCATGCCTGGCTAATTTTTAAATTTTTTTGTAGAGACGGGGTCCTGAACTCCTGGCATCAAACAATCTTCACATCTTAGCCTTCCAAAGCGCTGGGATTACAGATGTGGGCTACTGTGCCTAGCAAGCATACTTTTTAAAATATATGTAGGTAGACTGAAACTATCACTTTGTAGATAAACTATCCCATTGGTGAGAAAAATACTCATTTTCTGTATAAAGTTGTGGTATTGGTAACTTTGTTAGTACCATTTGCATCTTTGCAATAAGATTCAAATTAAATTATATCCTAAATGAATTTTTTCTGTTTTTTTTTTTTTTTTTTTTTTTTTTTGTATATTTGCACACCTGAGCAAGAGATGGAAACCTACAACAATAGGAGTCTAAATCAGTGGCTATTTTTCTGAGTTGCTTAGTTGAAGCACTTCAAAATGGTGATTCCAGTGCCTCGGCCCCATTCTAGACTAGTTAAATACGAGTCTCTAAGGAGTGGGACTCAAGCATCTTCTTTTTTTTTTTTTTTTAAGCTCCCCAAGTGATTCCAATGTTTGGCAAGCTTACTGAGAATCACTAGTCTAATTAAAATTCTATATGCCAATAAAATTGTGTTTATTTTATCCTAAGTGGCTATTTTCTGTACACGAAACAGTTTCATGTCTCCATTTGGAAAAACGTAATTAAAATAAAATGAAATTAGATATATTGAGAAGTAAAGATCTGGAGAACTTATTGTGGTAGATACATACATATATAATATTGTTTATGATATATCAGTTTAAGAATTATAAATTTCCCTTCTGAGCTGGTTAACCAAAAGACAATCATTGTTCATCAAGAGTCATTTAGTAAGTAATTTATTAGCCATGACATGGATAAAATATTAAGAAAGTTATTATACCAGAGAATATATTTATTGGGTATATACATTGCGCCTTTTCAGACAGGGAAAGTGTTTTGTTTAGAGTCATGCACAATCATTGAAATGTTGGATAGTGATGTGAGAGTTTGTATTGAAGAGGAATGAGGTTTTGAAGTCAGGTACCAGTAGCTTTCTGAATTTCCTGACCAACATAGGAAATGATCATAGATAGGAACATCAATTGGGTAACCCAGCAAAAAACAAAAAAAAATTCCCACTCTGATTGTTTGCCTAAAGTACAGTCAGTCAGTTCTTGATCACGGGTTATACCAGGCGTTAGCAAACTATGACCTGTGAGTCTAATCTATATCTTTTCTAGAAATAGTTTTACTGGACATAGCCATTGTTTGTTCATTTTCTTATTGTCTGTGGCTGCCTTTAGGCTCCTACCGTAGAGTTGAATCATTTGACATAGATTGTATAACCTGCAAAGCTTTATGTACTATCTGACCCTTGATAGAAAGTTTGCCAACTCCCGTATTACGCTGTTGTTATATATACACATTAAGACTATTGTATCACACATTACTTGCTCATACTCTCAAATAGATTCTCTTAAGCTGAATTTGGTCTTTCATACACAAGTGACTGGAGAGCATTCTGTTCTTAGGGCTTTCAGATGAAGGCTGCAGTTGAGGGAGAGGGATTTACCTTGGCAGTTAGGGGATTATACTGCTAGTTCTCTGATGTTCCTACTGTAGGTAATCAGGATTTTGCTCACTTACCTGGGGCAGGTGTCTTCTTGCCTAGCTCATTTTCCATGTTCTTCTGCATCACTGCTGTTGCTCCCTCTTTTGAGGGTCGGTGTATGGTAGTAGGTTAACTGAAGCAGGCAGATTTGGAACCTGGTCCATGAAGATCTTCCATTGCAGTCACAGGAGAAAAAGACCATTTTGCACACACTTTGCTAATAATGGAACTGGATGAGGAAGATTAAAGATGAGGAGCTTTTCAGCCTTTAATTGTGGCTCAAGTGGAGAGTTAAAAAAGATGTGGAGATCTAGTAGAGGAGTTCGTATCTGGCTCAATTTCTCTAGTTTCGAATGCAGCAGAGGACTAGCTGGCTACCTCTGAGCTTCAGCTACCTCTTCACCTGGGGCATATGAATGCTAGCCAAGGTTCTGACATACTTGACCATTACTTACACTTATCAAAGCAGTACCTTTAATTAGCTGGCCATGATGGCACACACCTTTTAGTCTCAGCTATTTGGTGGGCTGAGGTGGGAGGATCACTTCAGCTGAGGAGTTCAAGGTTACAGTGAGCAGTGATTGCACCACTGCACTACAGCCTGGGCAATAGAGCAAACAGAGCAAGACCAACTTTTTTTTCGAGACGGAATCTCACTCTGTCGCCAGGCTGGAGTGCAGTGGTGCAACCTCTGCTCACTATATCCTCCGTCTCCCGGGTTCAAGTGGTTCTCCTTCCTCAGCCTCCCAAGTAGCTGGGACTACAGGTGCATGCCACCAGACCCAGTTCATTTTTGTATTTTTAGTAGAGATGGGGTTTCTTTATGTTAGCCAGGATGGTCTGGATCTCCTGACCTTGTGATCCACCCACCTCAGCCTCCCAGAGTGCTGGGAATTGCAGGTGTGAGCTACTGCACCTGGCCAACTTTTTTTTTTTTTTAAACAGTACCTGCAAGTACATTCAGTATTAAAAATATAAACATTTTTAACTTTCTAAGACTATATCCCACCCCTTCCTACATGTAAAGCTGTTAATAATGTTTTAGCCCTTTGATTTTCAGGTACTTTTATAGAAAGGCATTGCATACAAAAGCAAGGAAGGTGCCTGTAAATGAGACAAAATGTAATGATGTGCTGGTAAACACTGGCAGCGTGATCATCAGAGCAACACGTTTGGAATAGAAGCTACAGTCTTGCAAAAAATATTGGAGTTATTCTTTTGTTGAATGTGAGAAGCTTAGGATGCTACTGCAAATGTTCATTAATAAATGTCAAGTTATTTTTGTGACTCCAGAAGATTGTTATTTTTTTAAATAAAATATTTGAGATGGTTTCAGACCAAAACTTTTTATTTGGAATCTCATTATTTCATCTATTCTGTTTGTAATTTAGGCCTAGATCTGTGCCTGAATGACTTTTCTATTGGGTGTAATTGTATCCAACCTTACTCAATATATCTATGTGAAAGAGAAGTTATTCTGATTGTTGATTTTTCTTTTCCTGAGGTACTTTAAGGAATGTGGGACCTGTGTTTGGACTCAGTTTTCTAGACTGTGATGACACCACATTCTGTTAGTGTTTGGAGACCCTGGCATTTATGCTTTCCTAGTGTGATAAGGCAATGAAGGGAGTACATTTAAGGGAAGCAGGCCGAATTGCTTCTTAGAATAAATGAGTTAATAAAGATACCACTGATTAACTCTCTCTCATGTGAATTTTTCTAAGCACTTTAAGTTTTTACTTAACTATGTTTATGGTATGTGATTTTTCTAAGTGTACTCCCCTCTCCCCACTAACTCTCATTCCTTCTTTATATGATAGATCAACAACTATCATCTATTCCACAAGATGAGTAACAGCCACCCTCTTCGCCCCTTTACTGCAGTGGGGGAAATTGATCATGTGCACATTTTGTCTGAACATATTGGTGCCTTGTTGATTGGGGAAGAATATGGCGACGTCACATTTGTTGTGGAAAAGAAACGTTTTCCTGCCCACAGGGTGATTTTAGCAGCCAGGTGCCAGTATTTTCGGTAAGTGTAATACTTTTTTGAAAATTCAGTTCACCTGTAGAAAACACTAGTATTTTCTGCTCTGTGAAAAATATGTAACCAAGCATAATGACAAATTCTTGCATCCCTCAATTGAATACCTATAAAGATTTCATCTTTGTAGACTTTGTTATTTTTTGAGAATTGCCTTTTCCTTTAGGAGCCATCTTAAAATTTAAGAGTTGGAAGGTTTCCCAGACCAGATAGTGCCCAATCAACCATTTTTCAAGGTCTCAAGAATGTTTCTCAGGCTGAGTCTTTGTTGTCCTCACCCTCTCCTCACAGTAGATGGCTAATGGGACTTAAGCTTCTTTTTGTGTAGGTAGACTGACCTCTGGACCTGCTAATGGGCACATTTACCCCCTTGGTTTGAGAATGCTGAGGTCTAGGACCTGTTAGTAACCCAGCAGGTCTAAGAGGTATACTTATATGCAGCTATTGTTTGTTACTTCAGTCCTTAATTTCCAGGGTTATAAATCTTAAGCTGATCTTTAACTAGCCTACATTTTACCTAATATTTGTCAAAAGTGAGTCATCACTGAATTACTGAGTTATAATTTATGCTTGATAATGGATCTTCTTCTATTTGTAAGGACAAAGATGGTCCACAGAGTTAGAGATTTATCTGGGAAACTTGGTACCTGAAATGGAGATGCCATTGGCTTAGAGAACATTTCAGTTACCATCTAGTGATAACTGCAGTCTGGCTTTTATAATCAGAATTAAGAGAGACAGCAATACCTAGAGTCAGACATTTCGTGGTAAAATGTGTCTCCTGGAAATATTTACTCTATAGCTAGAGCTCCTATGGTTTTTCATAAACTTCTTATCTTATGCATGTAAAATGCCACTGTAGGTGAAACCAGGAGCTTAGAAAAATGAGGAGTCTGTTAAAACTTCTAACACTCTCCTCTTCTTCCTAGTGGTCAACTCTACCAAGGCATCTGACCTTGGTCTAGTCATTATTTCTTACCAGCCTCTGTCCTCTGCACACTTTTCCTTTTGTCTTTATTTCCCTTTTAAAATGTTTGGTCCAGTCATTACTATTAAAGTGTTTTACAAGAGTCCACTTTTTATTAAGTCATAACTTCTCAGCCTGTGTTTATTATTTATTAATACTGTATACCTTGCCTTCTTTCAAAAATAATTTGAAACAACTCTATGTGGGTATCGTTTAGGTGATTAGTATATTCTTAAAAGAAACTCAAATACTTTTAGAAAGTTGAAGATTGTATTGAGTGAATGGAATATACTACCCCCACTTACTGACCTTGTTCTTGATGTCTTTGTAGATATTTAACCTTTGTAATATTTGCTGGCTCACTAAGCTAAGCTCAGAGTCTACCTTAGACTACCTTAGAGCTAAGCTCAATGCTGCCTTACTTAGATTCTCAATGCTCACAGTATTCATATGCAAAGGAGTGTTAATTGTCAGCTGTCAGAAGACGCCTAAGTACTGTCATAATAGTCTATCAATTCCCAGATAAGGAACTGTATAGGAGGAAACTTTTCATAGTAAACATCGAACCTGTGCCTGTCTTGGGGGTTCATATTTATTGTTCCAAGGGAGCCTCATCAAAACCACTTTTAAAGCATCGAGAATCCAGATAAATACCACAGATCATACAGGACTGGAGTTAAGTCTTGTTGAGGTCTCCCCCCAAAAAAGAGAAGTTATTTAATTTGGTAATTTTAGGGTAATGGGTTGGATGCTCTCTGGATTAATGGAAACCTTCAAGGGTATTATTAGGCAGAGTATAACCCAGTGAAGAGGTGTGCTCAAAATATTCATGAATCTTTGCTGGATGGTTTCAGCTATTTTCCTGGGGCAAGCAAGAATGCTAGGTCCTTGGGGAGTGTGGGACAAGTTCCAAATAGGTAACCCTGAAATGCTAGTCCTACTCAGAATTTTAGGAACAGAGAGAATCTCTTTCTTGCTTCTAGTCTCTTCCTGTCACTTTTCCATCTTTTCTTTCTCATTCTGTATTCTTCTCTCCCTTTTCTGTACTTCTCCCTTATCCTGTTCCTCTTTTCTTTCCTGATAGGTTGGAATTTTAATTGATTCATATTATTCCTTCCTGCTTGATTAATAGAGGTAGAAATTCAACACTTGATCTTAGCCAAAAGGCTGAGAAATGATCATAGAGGTAGAAATTCAAATTCATTACCTAACTGAATTATCTAGTTTTCATTTTTTTAGATAAGCAGTAATGTAGGGCTTTTGTTTAATCTGAAAGGAAAAAATAAAAAAAATCACCCAAATCCTATCAGTAATTTCATTTTTAATTTATAAAGTAACAAATGAAAGTCTTTGTGTCCCCACCATCTGATACCATTTCCCAGAGATAAGTGATGTTACAGTTTAATATGAATTTCCTCTGATTTTTAAAAAATCTTTAAATCCAATCTGATTTCCTCTGATTTGATTTAAAGAAATACCTGTATAGACATATGTGCATAAACATGTAAATATGTGGTTATATACTTTTTTCATGCAGTACATATGGATCTGCAATTTTACTTACTCAACTACTATGTCCTGGACATCTTTTCAAAACAGTACCTGTTGATCTCCCTTGATCTTTCTAAAGGCTGCATAGAATGTGTATATCAGAGTTTTTTTTTAACCATGTTGCTGTTGATGGACATTTAGATTTGTTCCAGTGTTTCAGTGTGCATTCTTACACATTTTTCTTTGGTGTATTACTTCTCTAGAAATGAGTCCTAAAAGAGAGATTACTTAGTTGAAGGGTATGCACATTTTAGTTTTGACTATATGCTACTAAATTTCTTTCCATAAAGGGCTGCGCATTTGTACTCTCAAAGCAGTGCATCAAACAACCTGTTCAGCCTGTTTTTCCATTGCTTTTGCAGCACTGATATTAACAAGCCTTTTAACTTCTGCCAATCTTACAGGGGAGAATGACATCATATTAGTGTTCGTCTTTATCTGGTTATATCTTTTCCCATAGAGTTTTACTTTTTAAATTGCCTTATTGACCTTTAACATCTTTTTATCAACTTCATTGTGCCTCTCAAAAGATCACACTCATCCTTCTATTTAATACCTATCACATATCTTGAGCTTTCAGAATATCTCAGAAAAAATTTCAGAATATTTCAGTGGTTTATAGAATTAATTCACATAGTTTTAAAATCATTCCTCTTGCTTCCTTTTAAAGAACCATTTTATATGATTACTTTGTGTTTTTTTCATTTGGATCTTTGTGTCATTAAACAAATTTATATTTGCATAATGTTGATAACTGTTATTTCCAATATTTTGTAGCAAATCCTATTTGAAGGTTTCTTCATGTGTTTCTTCCCTGATGTGCAGAGCATTATTGTATGGTGGAATGCGAGAGTCTCAGCCTGAAGCAGAAATTCCTCTCCAAGATACCACTGCAGAAGCATTCACAATGCTACTCAAGTATATCTACACAGGGCGGGCAACGCTGACTGATGAGAAGGAGGAGGTGCTGCTGGACTTTTTAAGCCTGGCTCATAAATATGGATTTCCAGAGCTAGAGGATTCTACTTCTGAGTATCTCTGCACCATACTTAACATTCAGAATGTCTGTATGACTTTTGATGTTGCCAGTCTGTACTCACTTCCCAAGTTAACTTGTATGTGCTGCATGTTTATGGACAGGAATGCTCAGGAGGTTCTCTCAAGTGAAGGTTTCCTCTCTCTTTCTAAGGTGTGTGTCATTTGTCTGCAAGTAATTTATAGGCATGCATTGTTTTATTTATACCTATAAAGCAGAAGTATAGCAATGAACTAAGAATAAAAAAATAAAAATCATTGGTATCAAAGAGGTTATCTGGTCTAGCCACTTGCCTCCAGCTACTAGGACTCTAGATCATAAAAGAGAGGGGCTGGTTGTTTGTGTTTTCTTTTAAGGTTCTTCTGGTAAGTTTTATGTGTGAAAGAGACTGTGCTGCTGAGTAGTTGTTTTCAGTGTAGAGACAACTACATAGGATCCTTTGTGGTATTGCATACTACCTTTTAGTTTTGTTTTTCTCTGACAGAGAGTGTGACTAATACTTCCTTAGAGCAAGCAGGGAAATTCGTAAAAGAGATCTAATGCATCATTTGATATCTTTAAGTCACTGCTTTTTTTTTTGCTGGCTTAAAATTCAGTATTAGAGCTAGAGTAAAACTGTTTTGCTCAAATCGTCCTTTGAACTCTGGGTAGTGATTATCTCTCCATTTCTCTTGTTGTGTTCCTTCTAGAACCTGGATATTTCTAATGAGAAAACCTATTGAAAAGCTATATATCTTGATTTGAGTGTAGATTAAGATTTGTGTTATCCTATTTCTTTTTTTCTACTTGATTTTTAAAGGCAATTATCTTTGAGGGTTGCACCATTGTTGCTGGAGGTCAGTTTGGAGATCTGAGAGCCAAAAATATGGTAATGAAGTAATACTGTAAAACAAAACACTTGGAATTTTAAATGCCAGATGTATCTTTCTAACTTAAAAATGTACACCTTCTTGAAGAATCTGTATGTATTGACAGCTTTTCACTTTGGCATTTTTCTTTTTGCTGTTTTAAAAAAGGTAGATGCAGATGTGTTTGGAAAGACTAGATGTTTGTTGTAGTGGTACAAGATACCTGAGCATAAAAGAAAGGTGTTACCATCCTTGTTATTTACATAGCCATAATGAGCAGGAGAATATGTGGCACAAAGCATAAGGGAAGAAGAGGGTCAAAAAGAGTTAACTGACTAAATATAAGTTGTACTTGTTCTGTAAGCTTTTACTGATCGATCATGCAATGGTTGAACTTCATATGACTGGAATTTTACCTTTCTATCTTTTACAGACAGCACTTTTAAACATCGTGTTAAGAGATTCATTTGCAGCTCCCGAAAAAGATATTTTCCTAGCCTTACTAAACTGGTGTAAGCACAATTCAAAGGAGAATCATGCTGAAATCATGCAGGCTGTGCGTTTACCTCTCATGAGCCTCACTGAACTTCTGAATGTTGTGAGGCCTTCGGGACTGTTGTCTCCTGATGCCATTCTGGATGCCATTAAAGTGCGATCTGAGAGCCGGGATATGGACCTCAATTACAGAGGCATGCTCAGTAAGTACCTATCTATCCGAAACTCACCAAGAAACTTTATGTGCCTGTTATGCCATTCACGACTGCAAAGCTACTACAGAACTGTATAATGCAGGTGTACATGAAATATGTACATTGATAAACAGCTAGCTTTGCTTCCTGTGGAATGTCTTTCCCTGTCATTTTCCTGTCAATTCCTCCTGAGATTGATTATTAGCCTTTATAGACCCTAAAATAGATATTTCTTTCCATTCCTGGATAGATTTCTCAACTGCTCCCCCAGAATGTCAGAAATAGACACTTTCCTAAAAAGCTGCTTCTCATGTTAAGACCTTTTCTTCCTTCCTCCATCAAGTAAATTCTGAGTACATGATGTGTACTTATTATTTTGGGTACCATGAACATGGAGATTTTTTTTTTTTTTTGAGACGGAGTTTCACTCTTGTTACCCAGGCTGGAGTGCAATGGCGCAATCTTGGCTCACTGCAACCTATGCCTCTAGGTTCAAGCAATTGTCCTGCCTTAGCCTCCCAAGTAGCTGGGATTACAGGTGCCTGCCACCATGCTTGGCTATTTTTTGAGTCTGGCTTATAAATATGGATTTCCAGAGCTAGGGGATTCTACCTCTGAGTGTCTCTGCACCATACTTAATATTCAGAATGTCTATATGACATTTGTGTAATAGCTTTTGTCTGCATATTAGCTAATACTTATGTAGTATTTCCAATACTTACCACCACTTAAGTGGTAATTTTTCTTATTAACGAATTCATAGCAATTAACACTTACAGAGTGCATAGTATGTATCAAGAACAGGTCCTACATGACCATTTAATTTTCACAATTCTTTGAGGTACATACTGTCATTAACTCCATTTTACAAACTGAAACAGAGAAATTAAGTAACTGCTCAAGGTCACACAGAAAGATAGCAGAGATGAGAGTCAAACCTATATAGTTTGGCTCCAGAAGCTCTGTAATTAACTGCTAAACTATGCTGTATAATTGTTACATATAGTATCTACTTCCGATCCTATTAATTTCATTGTGAAAATAAGACATAAACTCCCATGAAAAGTTAAATACAGCAATATTCAAGGGAGTACATGTTATAGAACTTCAGAAGAAGAAATGGCTTGGAATGATTGAGTGAGATTTCATGGAGGTTATGAAGCTTGAGTTGAGCCTTGGCACTTGATTCAAATATTGTAAGAGTTGGATGAATTTCAGATGGAAAGAATCATGAAGTTAATAGACAGAGGTTAGAGTATTTGAAGAGACCATGAATAGAAGAGCTTGATTAGAGTAGAAGGCTTTTATTGATTAATAGCAGAGAAACTATGTGAAGGTCAGCTTAGGCTAGTTTATGGAAGTCTTTGAAACTAGATTGGAATCTCCCTTATATGCAGTATGGAAGCAATTTGAGAGAGGAAGAGTGATATGCATACAATGGTGGTTTTGAAAAACTGATTCATAGTGCTGTATTTGAGGATTTAGAATAGGTAGGGGGAAACTGATTCAGGGAGACTAGTGAGGAGGGTATTCAATCTGTGCACAATTGATACTACCTTAAACCAGATTGGCAGCAGGGAAATTGAAAATAATGGATGATTAGAATGGACATTATGGAAAAAAATAGAACTTGGTGATTCAAGTGATTTAAATTTGGGAATTAAATTTAGGAGAGAGTTACCATTTGTTATCACATCTAAGAAGTCAGAAATTCTCAGGCACCATTATCTTATGTTCTACTAAGGAAAGAAACAATACTGCCAATTAACCATGACACAGTATGATGTCTACATTGCAATTTCAGAAATTTTAAAAACTGATCACCAAGTGTGTCTTAGTAATGAAATACAGTGAAGTACTTTTTTTGAAGAAGATGCTGAGCTTGTTTTAGATTGAGTTTGAGGGTTTTGGGACATGCAAGTTGTAAGTTCTGTCCTGTGCTAGTCATTTTCCTGAGTGTTCTCTTCTTGACTATGCCTTTGAAGACTCTCTGGAAACACTTACTGATCTTAAATAGATATCCTTAACAGACCTCTCTCCTGACTTATCAGGTCTAGATTTCTTTTCACTGATTATAGAAGAAATAACATAAGTTTTGGCTCAGACACATTTGACCTCAAATCCTGAATTAGTCACTTACTAGTTGTACGATCTGGTATTAAATTATTTAAAGAGTTTTACTTTTTATTTTATATCTCCAAGTATTGTTATGAGACTTAATTGAAATAATGTGTGCAAATAATATGTATAAGCTCTGTATAGGAAACTGTTGTTACCATATATCATTTTGATGTGTTTTTTTCTTTTTTCTGTACATCTGTGTGAGAATTACCACATTGATCACATTGTTTTAAACATTTTTGTTTACTTGTCTTTGATCCTTGAAGGCAGAGGTGATCTTTGTAGGCCTTATTAATCTCTATATTCTCAATATTTAACACACTTAATAGCATATAACGGGTACTTGGTGAATGTTACTTGTCTTTGATCCTTGAAGGCAGAGGTGATCTTTGTAGGCCTTATTAATCTCTATATTCTCAATATTTAACACACTTAATAGCATATAACGGGTACTTGGTGAATGTTTAGGGAATGAATGCAGGGAGAAATGTCTTGATACAAAGTAGGAACACATTACTGTTTAGGAAGCAGTCAGATCTGGTGATAAAAGAGTTGAAACCTGAGCTAGAGTATAGAGAAAGAAGTAAAAATCTAAGTCTGAGACTTGGAGAAAACCTATAGCCAGGGGACTTAAGGTAGAGAAGGAAGAAGGAAGATATTTGGGACTGAAGAGAGTTACAGAGGACAACCAGAGGAGAGAGCTTTCATATGGATTCAGTGGTCAGTGGTCTCATGATGGGGAGGTCAAGAAAATTCAGAGACAACTTTTGGATCTAAATCGTGATTAGTTGGTAAGTAATCTGGACAGAAGACTGGCTTCCGGGGAATTAGGCCATGGATGTTTGAAAACGTAGTAGAGATAACCTACTGCCTCTCTGATTTGTGAATTGGATTGAAAGGTAGTAAAAAAATAGTATTGTAGCTAGAGAGATCAGGCTGGGAGAGTCCAGAAAGAAATCAGAGGTGCTAGAGAATGGTATGAGTTATGGGTCAGCTTTGGATAAAATGTGGGATAAATGTATAAATACAAGGAAGCATGACACTTTTCTGTCAGACCTGAAAAAATAGTTTTTTTTTAAATTCAACCATCTTTATTAATCTATCAGTGTTACATTTTATACATAACATCTAGTTGTATTCTCAGAGGGCTTACTTTAGTACAACATCTTAATAGCAGAAAGCCAAGTAAGATGGCCAAAACTCACACTAGCATTTAATATCCTCTGGAAAAGGGAAGCTAGAAAGTCAGTCACTTTACATACATGTAAGAGTAGTGTTCCAAAATAAGAAAGAAGCTGCTACATTTTTAAGTAGGGAGGAAAAAACTTTCATTTTGGTCTCTGTGTTCCAGCAAATTATACTTTCAATTAACAGCAACAAAGATACCATAAAAAATGCTTTGCTTTTAAAACTTCTGAACTTCAGTACAAATTAAAATAGTCCTAAAGACTTTTTTTGGGAGGCCAATAGCTAGCAGCTACATTAATTGGTGTAGTTGAGCCTCCTTATCAATAACCAGATCCAGATTGGGTATAGCCCCTGACAAAGGGATTAGGATTAGGAAAGGATAAGGATTAGGCCTACTTGGAGGAAAGGTCATGGTACTTACAGGATGTGAAGTAAAACCTGGTTTTGGTCGATAGACCCGAAGTTGGCTTGGAGCCATTCCAGATTTAGAGATGGGGAGGTGGGGGGCCCAGTATAATTAGTAGGCTGAGAAATTTGGATATATAAATTTGTGCAGGATAATTGCTCTCGGTATTGCTGTGGCGGCTGAGCAGGCAGTTGTTGAGGCTGACCAGAAAGGCAGGAGCTGGTGCCTGGGTAGTTGGTTCCTGGCCATATTTCTGGAACTGCTGAGGTTATTGGGGTCCAGTCTGCTAACTATGGCTTGTCGAATACTCAGTACCGTACTGTTGAGGCTGCTGAGGTGGAGCCTGCAGCTGCTGCGTACCATAGCTGGCCTGTTACTGGTACTGTTGGTATAGGACTTTCAGTCTGACCTGCTTGTATCTCAGCTCCTGTATGTGGTGGTTGCTGTGGCTGAACTCCTGGTAGGTGAGCTGCTGCTGCTGCTGAGAAGGAGGCAATGCTGTCAGGTGTTTCTGAACAGTCTTCTGCAGGAGCACTGGGTTGCCCTGAAACCTGATCATCTGTTAAGCCAAATGACAACGTAACATTATTATTGATTTCATCTTGGTTTTTTAAAAGGATCAAAAGCTGACATACTTGCTGCCATAACCTGAGTAGACTGTTTTCCAGAAGAATCTGAAGAAGCAGGCTTTTCTTCCTTGCCATCCAGTGTCATTTTCAGGAATATTGGTGGAAGGTCCTGGTTCTTTATTTGGAAGTTCTGTCAGTTCTCGACAGGGATCACCTGACTTGATTCAAGGGGTCTTTGTTGACCATTAACAAATAATGTCAGTTTCGGTATCCTATCACACTGAATTGCAAAGGGAAGGTCAGAACTATAAAAAAATTGTTATAAGATCTTTATCTTTATACTTTTGTTACTTCATCATTACTCAGAAGCTTTCCCCTGAAAACTCGTTGCATCATTAGCACTAATTCATCATAAGTGATATTAATATCTTCATTATGAATAGGAATTTGCAGAATATCCTCCCCAAGTTGAGCTTTCATGATTAGCTTCCCACTTAGTTCATGGTGGACTCCAGGATGTTCTATATATTCAGCCCTAGAGAAAGAGGGCTTGTGGAGGTCACTGCCACCACCTCTCCACAGGTCTCCACTGACTGGGCCAATACCAGGCCACGAGGCTGGGGTGTTGTGGGGAGCCTGTGGTCACCGCCCACTCAGTTGCCCTCCACGGCTGCCGAATCTTGCTTGTAGGCTCATGTGGGCCCACCCGATTGCCACAGATAGGT